GGATCGATCAGTGGGGCAGGGATCAATATCTGTGGGGCAGGGATCGATCAGTTGGACTGGGATCGATCAATTGATCGATCAGGGATCGATCAGTGGGGCTGGGATCGATCAATGGGGCTGGGATCGATCAGTTGGGCTGGGATCGATCGCTGATTGCCAATGGATCGATCGATATTCAATAATCAATAAACGTTGGTGCATGGATGATCAGTGAGTGATCAGTAACCAATCGCCGATCAATAACCAATCGCCGGTCAGCAACTGATTAAATACTGATCAATAACAAAGTGGCAACTAATAACCAATCAATAATCAATAACCAATCGCCAGTCAGCAACTGATGAAATACTGATCAATAACCAAATAAATAACAAAGTGGCAACTAATAACCAATCAATAATCATAATATTCAATAACCAATCAATAATCAATAACCAATCGCCAGTCAGCAACTGATTAAATACTGATCAATAACAAAGTGGCAACTAATAACCAATCAATAATCAATAATAAACATATAATATTCAATAACCAATCAATAATCAATAACCAATCACCGATCAGCAACTGATTAAATATTGATCAATAACCAAATAGCAACTAATAACCAATCAATAATCAATCAATAATCAATAAACATATAATATTCAATAGCTAATCAATAATCAATAATCAGTAACGAATCAATAAATCAAATAGTAACCAAATACCAATCAATAACCAATCAATAATCAATCAATAATCAATAAACATATAATATTCAATAGCTAATCAATAATCAATAATCAGTAACGAATCAATAAATCAAATAGTAACCAAATACCAATCAATAACCAATCAATAATCAAATATGAATCAATAACCAGCCAGTAACCAATCAGTAACCAATCAATTTCCAATTAATCAATCACCAATTAACCAGCAACAATCTGACAACTAATAAACAACCAATAATCAATCACCAATTAATCAATAACCGATTAAAAACCAATTATTCAATCAGCAATTAACTAAAAGCCAATCGATAACCAATAAATAATTAATAACCAATAAATAGCCATTAAATAACCAATTAATAACCAACTAATAACCAATAAATAACCAATAATCGATAATCAATAACCAATTAAAAACCAATTATTCACTTACCAATTAAGCAACAGCCAATAAACAACCAATAACCAATTCCCAATTAATTATTAACCAAAGATTAATTAATAACCAATAACCAATTAATTAATAACCAATAATCGATAATCAATAACCAATAATCCATTAAAAACCAATTATTCAGTAATTAATTAACAAATTACCAATAAGCAGCCAAAAATCAATCACCAATTAGTTAATAACCGATAAATAAGTGATTGATTACCAATAAATAACCAATAATCGATAATCAATAACCAATAATCCATTAAAATCCAATTATTCAATAATCAATCATCAAATTACCAATAAACAGCCAACAATCTATCACCGATTAATTAATAACCAATAAATAATTAATAACCAAAAAATAACCAATAATCCATAATCAATAACCAATAATCAATATAAAACCAATTATTCAGTAATCAATTAACTAATGACCAATAAACAGCCAACTATCTATCACTGATTAATTAATAACCGATAAATAAGCTATTAATTACCAATAAATAACCAATAATCGATAATCAATAACCAATAATCCATTTAAATCCAATTATTCAATAATCAATTAACAAATTACCAATAAGCAGCCAACAATCTATCACCGATTAATTAATAACCAATAAATAATTAATTAATAACCAATAAATAACCAATAATCCATAATCAATAACCAATAATCCATTAAAATCCAATTATTCAATAATCAATTAACAAATTACCAATAAGCAGCCAACAATCTATCACCGATTAATTAATAACCAATAAATAATTAATTAATAACCAATAAATAACCAATAATCCATAATCAATAACCAATAATCCATTAAAATCCAATTATTCAATAATCAATTAACAAATTACCAATAAGCAGCCAAAAATCAATCACCAATTAGTTAATAACCGATAAATAAGTGATTGATTACCAATAAATAACCAATAATCGATAATCAATAACCAATAATCCATTAAAAACCAATTATTCAGTAATTAATTAACAAATTACCAATAAGCAGCCAAAAATCAATCACTCAGCAACTGATTAAATACTGATCAATAACCAAATAGCAACTAATAACCAATCAATAATCAATCAATAATCAATAAACATATAATATTCAATAGCTAATCAATAATCAATAATCAGTAACGAATCAATAAATCAAACAGTAACCAAATACCAATCAATAACCAATCAATAATCAAATATGAATCAATAACCAGCCAGTAACCAATCAGTAACCAATCAATTTCCAATTAATCAATCACCAATTAACCAGCAACAATCTGACAACTAATAAACAACCAATAATCAATCACCAATTAATCAATAACCGATTAAAAACCAATTATTCAATCAGCAATTAACTAAAAGCCAATCGATAACCAATAAATAATTAATAACCAATAAATAGCCATTAAATAACCAATTAATAACCAACTAATAACCAATAAATAACCAATAATCGATAATTGATAACCAATTAAAAACCAATTATTCACTTACCAATTAAGCAACAGCCAATAAACAACCAATAACCAATTCCCAATTAATTATTAACCAAAGATTAATTAATAAGCAATAAATAACCAATTAATAACCAATAATCGATAATCAATAACCAATAATCCATTGAAATCCAATTATTCAGTAGGCAATTAACAAATGACCAATAAACAGCCAACAATCAATAACCAATTAGTTAATAACCGATAAATAAGTGATTGAAACAGCCAACAATCAATAACCAATTAGTTAATAACCGATAAATAAGCTATTAATAACCAATAAATAACCAATAATCGATAATCAATAACCAATAATCCATTAAAACCCAATTATTCAGTGATCAGTTACCTAATTACCAATAAACAGCCAACAATCAATTATTAATTAATTAATAACTGACAAATAATTACTTAATAACCAATAAATAACTGATAATGGGTTATTAATAGCGGATTATTAATTAATTAATGACCGATAATCCATAATCAATAACCAATAACCAATATAAAAACCAATTATTCAATAATCAATCATCAAATTACCAATAAGCAGCCAACAATCTATCACCGATTAATTAATAACCAATAAATAATTAATTAATAACCAATAAATAACCAATAATCCATAATCAATAACCAATAATCCATTAAAATCCAATTATTCAATAATCAATCATCAAATTACCAATAAGCAGCCAACAATCTATCACCGATTAATTAATAACCAATAAATAATTAATTAATAACCAATAAATAACCAATAATACATAATCAATAACCAATAATCCATTAAAATCCAATTATTCAATAATCAATCATCAAATTACCAATAAACAGCCAACAATCTATCACCGATTAATTAATAACCAATAAATAATTAATAACCAAAAAATAACCAATAATCCATAATCAATAACCAATAATCAATATAAAACCAATTATTCAGTAACCAATAAACAAATAACCGATAAACAGCCAAAAATCAATTACCAATTAATTAATAACCGACAAATAATTAATAACCAATAAATAACTGATAATGGGTTATTAATAGCGGATTATTAATTAATTAATGACCGATAATCCATAATCAATAATAATCGACCAATATAAAAACCAATTATTCAATAATCAATTAACAAATGACCAATAAACAGCCAACAATCTATCACCGATTAATTAATAACCAATAAATAACCAATAATCGATAATCAATAACCAATAATCAATATAAAACCAATTATTCAGTAATCAATTAACTAATGACCAATAAACAGCCAACTATCTATCACTGATTAATTAATAACCGATAAATAAGCTATTAATTACCAATAAATAACCAATAATCGATAATCAATAACCAATAATCCATTTAAATCCAATTATTCAATAATCAATTAACAAATTACCAATAAGCAGCCAACAATCTATCACCGATTAATTAATAACCAATAAATAATTAATTAATAACCAATAAATAACCAATAATCCATAATCAATAACCAATAATCCATTAAAATCCAATTATTCAATAATCAATTAACAAATGACCGATAAACAGCCAACAATCAATTACCAGTTAATTAATAACCGATTAATAACCGATAAATAACCAAAAAATGGTAGTTAATAGCGGATTATTAATTAACTACCAATAATCGATAATCAATAACCAATAACCAATATAAAAACCAATTATTCAGTAATCAATCATCAAATAACCAATAAACAGCCAACAATCAATAACCAATTAATTAATAACCGATAAATAAGCGATTAATAAGCAATAAATAACCAATAATCCATAATCAATAACCAATAATCAATATAAAACCAATTATTCAGTAACCAATAAACAAATAACCGATAAACAGCCAAAAATCAATTACCAATTAATTAATAACCGACAAATAATTAATAACCAATAAATAATGAATAATGGGTTATTAATAGCGGATTATTAATTAATTAATGACCAATAATCAATATAAAACCAATTATTCAGGAATCAATTAACAAATGACCAATAAACAGCCAGCAATCAATCACCAATTAATTAATAACCGATAAATAAGCGATTAATTACCAATAAATAACCAATAATCCATAATCAATAACCAATAATCCATTAAAATCCAATTATTCAATAATCAATTAACAAATGACCGATAAACAGCCAAAAATCAATCACCGATTAATTAATAACCGATTAACAACCAATAAATAACTGATAATGGGTTATTAACAGCCGATTATTAATTAATTAACGCCCGATAACCGATAATCGATAGCCGATAATCGATAACCCACCCCTCCCCCCGCAGCCGCCTGACCTCCTCGGCCGCCGCCTGGACCTGGCTCCTGATTGGCTCCCTCCTGGTGGCCTCCCACCCTTGGCTCCGCCCCCCCTGGGGCTCCGCCCTCCGCGCCCTCGCCCGATTGGCCGTCGGCCTGGCGCTCTCGCGGGCCGGCCACGCCCTCGGCCACGCCCTGGAGGCGGCCACCGGCTCCTGCACCTCCCCCACCCCGCTGGGGACCCTCCTGGTGCCCCTGGGAGACCCCGCGGCCTGCCGGGGGGCGGGGCATAGCTGGGAGGGCTTTAGCCCCGCCCCCCAGGCCTTCGCCCTGGTGCACTGCGGGTTGGGATTGGCCGAAGAGGCGGCGGCGCTGGGGCGGAGCTTGTACGGATCCAAGATGGCCGCCGGGACCAAGATGGCCGCCGGGTCCAAGATGGCGGCCTGGTACAGGATGGCGCCTTGGCACAAGATGGCCGCCGGGTCCAAGATGGCCGCCGGGTATGATGGGAGTGAAGAATCCAAGATGGCCGCCGAGTCCAAGATGGCTGACGAATCCAAGATGGCGGCCTGGTACAAGATGGCCGCCGGATCCAAGATGGCCGCCGGATGCAAGATGGCCGCCGGGTACGGCGTGAGTGAAGAATCCAAGATGGCCGCCGGATCCAAGATGGCCACCGGGTACGACGTGAGTGAAGAACCCAAGATGGCCGCCGGGTCCAAGATGGCCGCCGGGTATGACGCGAGTGAAGAATCCAAGATGGCCGCCCCGTCCAAGATGGCGGCCCGCTACAAGATGGAGGAAGGAGCCAAGATGGCCGCCGGCAGCGGGTGGGCGTGGCCGCGCCCGACATGGTGGCCGGGCTCGCCGCCGCCGCGGCCAATCGGCTTCGAGTGGGCGGAGCCTCCCCCTGCAACTTACGGGTGGGCGGGGCCTCCTCATTACGGCTGGGGCGGGGCCGGCGGCCATCTTGGGCGGCCATTTTGGGGCGGGGGCGGCCATTTTGAAGGCGGCCATTTTGAAGGAAGGAGCGTCGGCCATTTTGAAGGTGGCCATTTTGAATCCGGCCGCCATTTTGATGCTGGCCGCCATTTTGATGCCGGCGGCCATTTTGAAGGAAGAACCGTCGGCCATTTTGACGGCGGCCATTTTGATTCCGGCCGCCATTTTGATTCCGGCCGCCATTTTGATTCCAGCCGCCATTTTGACTCCAGCCACCATTTTGACTCCGGCGGCCATTTTGACCCCCCCGCCCGCCATTTTGCCCCCCCGGGCGGCCATTTTGACCCCGCCGGCCGCCATTTTCCCGGCTCATCTCCCCTTTTCGAAGGCGGCCATCTTGCCGGCGGCCATCTTGGCGGCCCTTCGGTGGCCCCGCCCACCGCGCTGTCCATCCTGTACCTGCTGGCCGTGGCCCTGCTGGTCACGTGGCACCTCCTGCTGGTGGTGACGCTCACCTACCGCCACACCTGGGCCCGCAACGCCGCCGGCGCCGCCCTGGGCTGGGCCGCCTGGGCCCTGACCTACCGGGGGTGGTACCGGTGGGCGTGGTCACCCGGGCCGCCGGGGTGGGGCTGAGGGGCGTGGCCAATGGGGGAAAAGCCAAAAAAAACCCGGGTGAAAAACGAATAAAAATGGGGGGAAAACGGAAACAAGATGGCGGAAATTTGGCGGGAAAACGGTGGTGGGGAGATTTTTTGGGTGGAAAAATCGCGATTTTTGGACTTGGAAAAATGCCGATTTTTAGGCAGAAAAACGAGAATTTTTGGGTTAAAAAAGCGAAGATTTGGGGATGGAAAATGATGATTTTGTGGTAAAAAATGGCGATTTTTGGAGTTTTAAAATGAAGATTTTTGGGGTGAAAATCCACGATTTTGGGAGGCCGAAAAAGAAGATTTTTGGATGAAAAAAAGAAGATTTTTGGGTGAAAAAATCGCGATTTTAGGAGCCTGAAAATGAAGATTTTTGGGCGGAAAATTGAAGAATTTTTGGCTGAAAAATCCGAATTTTGGGGGTATCAAAATGAGGATTTTTTGGGGTTAAAAATCGCGATTTTGGTGCAAAAATTGAATATTTTTAAGGTGGGAAAATGAGGATTTTTGAGGTGAAAAATGAAGATTTTGAGGTGAAAAATGAAGATTTTTAGGTGGAAAAAATCCGATTTTTTGGGGAAAAAATTAAAGATTTTTAAGGAGAATTTGGACCAAAAATCGCCGATTTTTCCTCAAAAAAAAGAGGAAATTTTGGGTGGAAATGAGGTGAAAATGGGAAATTTTGGGGTTAAAAATGGGAATTTTGGGGTTTAAAAGGGAATAAATTGTAAAAAATGTGATTTTTTTTTGGTCGAAAAATGCGGGATTTTGCCTTAAAATTTGTATTTTGTTCAGAAATAAAAGAATAATAAATTTTTAATTTCTCTGTGTGAATTTATTTGAGTCCAAAAATGTGAATTTTTTTAAACAAAAAATTGGGAATTTTTAACATAAAAATTTGTGAACTTTTTAAAAAAAAAATGTGAATTTTTGGAACAAAAAATGTGATTTTTTAACATAAAATTGTGAATTTTTTGCATCAAAAAATGGGAATTTTTAAAATAAAAAATGTGAATTTTTTACATTAAAAATTGTGAATTTTTAAAATAAAAAATGTGAATTTTTAAAATAAAAAATGTGATTTTTTTAACATCAAAAAAGTGAATTTTTTAAAGAAAAAAGGGAATTTTTAAAATCAAAAATGTGAATTTTTTAAAATAAAAATGATGAAATTTTTAAAATAAAAAAATGATTTTTTAACATAAAAAAATGTGAATTTTTGGAACAAAAATTGTGATTTTTTAACAAAAAAAATGTGAATTTTTTACATTAAAAATTGTGAATTTTTAAAATAAAAAAAGTGAATTTTTGGAACAAAAATTGTGATTTTTTAACATAAAAAAGTGAATTTTTACATCAAAAAATGGGAATTTTTTAAACAAAAAATGTGAATTTTTTACATTAAAAATTGTGAATTTTTGGAGAAAAAAATTGTGAATTTTTAAAATAAAAAAATGTGAATTTTTTACATCAAAAAATGTGAATTTTTCCACATAAAAAAGTGAATTTTTTACATTAAAAAATGTGAATTTTTTAAACAAAAAAGTGATATTTTAAACAAAAAATGTGATTTTTTTAAACAAAAAATGTGAATTTTTTACATTAAAAATTGTGAATTTTTAAAATAAAAAATGTGAATTTTTGGAACAAAAATTGTGAATTTTTAAAATAAAAAATGCAAAATTTTTAAACAAAAAAGTGAATTTTTAAAATAAAAAATGGGATTTTTTTTAAACAAAAAAAGTGAATTTTTTACATTAAAAAATGTGAATTTTTTAAACAAAAAAGTGATATTTTAAACAAAAAATGTGATTTTTTTAAATAAAAAATGTGAATTTTTTACATTAAAAATTGTGAATTTTTAAAATAAAAAATGTGAATTTTTGGAGAAAAAATTGTGAATTTTTAAAATCAAAAATGTGAATTTTTTAAAATGAAAATTATGAAATTTTTAAAATAAAAAAATGTGATTTTTTAACACCAAAAAAGTGAATTTTTAAAGAAAAAAGGGAATTTTTAAAATAAAAAATGTGAATTTTTTTAAAATAAAAAATGTGATTTTTTTTAACACCAAAAAAGTGAATTTTTAAAGAAAAAAGGGAATTTTTAAAATAAAAAATGTGAATTTTTTTAAAATAAAAAATGTGATTTTTTTTAACACCAAAAAAGTGAATTTTTAAAGAAAAAAGGGAATTTTTAAAATAAAAAATGTGAATTTTTTTAAAATAAAAAATGTGATTTTTTTTAACACCAAAAAAGTGAATTTTTAAAGAAAAAAGGAAATTTTTAAAATCAAAAATGTGAATTTTTTAGCAAAAAATTGGGAATTTTTAAAATAAAAAAATGTGATTTTTTTAACATCAAAAAAGTGAATTTTTTAAACAAAAATTGTGAATTTTTAAAATAAAAAATGCAAAATTTTTAAACAAAAAAGTGAATTTTTAAAATAAAAAATGGGATTTTTTTTAAACAAAAAAAGTGAATTTTTTACATTAAAAAATTTGAATTTTCGCCCCAAAATCCCTCATTTTTAACCCCAAAAATTTAAATTCTTTTCACTCAAAAAATCCATTTTTTTCCCATTAAAAATTCATTTTTTCTACCCAAAATCTTTAAATTCTGCCCCAAATTAAATTTTTTTAATAAATCGAAAAATCCCTCATTTTTAACCCCAAAAATTCAAATTATTTTCACTCAAAAAATCAAATTTTTTCCCATTAAAAATTCATTTTTTTACCCAAAATCTTTAAATTCCGCCCCAAATTAATTTTTTTCATAAATCGCTTTTTTTTTTTCCACTCAATTCAGTATTTTTAACCAAAATATGCAAATTTCACCCCAAAATTTACATTTTTCTTACCAGGAAATTTCAAGTTTTACCCAAAACCTTCGGGATTCCCCTAAAAGGGGCGGAGGGGCCAAAATTGGGATTTTTCACCCCAAAATTTGCATTTTTTTCCTCCAAAATTTGCATTTTTTCCTCCAAAATTTGCATTTTTTTCCCCCAAAATTTGCATTTTTTCCCCCAAAATTTGCATTTTTCACCCTCACCTCTGGCGCTTTTTGCCCGAATTTTGCTTTTTTTACCTTAAAATTCTTAATTTTGCCCTAAAAATGAATTTTTCCCCATAAAATTCCGATTTTTCCCCCCCAAAAATCCAAATTTTTGACTCAAAAATCAGAATTTTATCTAAAAATTGAATTTTTTTTGTCTCAAACCCCCAAAATTTTTGACAAAAATTTCACTTTTTTACACTAAAATTAACTTTTTTCAACTAAAATCACCAATTTTAACTAAAAATTAAATTTTTTGCCCCAAAAATCAGAATTTTTCTCTTCAAATTTCCTTATTTTCTTCAAAAATCAACAATTTTTGCCCTAAAATTGATTTTTTTTCGCTCCTAAAATCCCAATTTTTACTCCAAAAATCGAATTTATTTTTAGATTTTGCCTTAAATTTGATTTTTTTTCCTCCTAAAAATCATAATTTTTATCCAAAATTTGGGATTTTTACCCTAAAATTCAGATTTTATCCTTAAAAATCCCAATTTTTACCCCCAAAAATCCAAATTTTTACCCTAAAAATCGGATTTTTCTCCCCTAAAAGTCCCAATTTTTACTCCAAAATCTCAAATTTTTACCCTAAAAATTGAATTTTTCTTTAAATTTTGCCCTAAATTTGATTTTTTTTTCACCTAAACCCATAATTTTTTTTCTCAAAATTTGGGATTTTTGCCTTAAAATTCGAATTTTTTCTTTAAAAATCCCAATTTTTACCACAAAAAATCCAAATTTTTGCCCTAAAAATTCATTTTTTTTCTCTAAATTGGGGATTTTTGCCCTAAAATTCAGATTTTTTTTCCCTAAAATGCCATTTTTTGCCCAAAAATCCAATTTTTTCCTCAAAAATTATATTTTTCTTTCAATTTTGCCCAAAATCCTCCATTTTTTTTACCCAAAATCTTCATTTTCCACCTCAAAATTCACTTTTCCCTCCCAAATTTTACCCAAAATTTCTCTTTTTCACCCCAAAATTTCGGAGTTTTCAGCAGCAAACTTCAAAAAATTCAATTTTTCCACCCCAAACCCACAAAATTTGCCTAAAATCGCCTTTTTCTCACCCAAAACCCCGCGGGGATTTCGGGCCTTTTTTTAACACCCAAAATTTGCATTTTTCGCCCCAAAACCGAAAATTTGGCAGCTGAAAAACGAAGATTTTGGGGCCCCAAAAAAATCGGATTTTTTCACCTAAAAATTCGGGGTTTTTTGGGCAAAAAATCGCATTTTTTCGCCTCAAAAAT